GGGAGGGGCGCTATAGCGCAATATAGGTTCAGTGGTTCCTCCTTTTTTCCAGTGACTCCGCCTCCAGACTCCGCCTCCAATGCCCGGCTTTCAGTGAAAAACGAGATTGCAGGACGAAAAAGCATGATAATCGTCACTTGTACGATCGTAGAAATCTTATCGGTGAATCAGCCGTGCATATGAGGGCGTAGTTTTGGAGATAGAGTTGATTGGGCACGTACAAACTGGGATCGAAATGGGGTTCTATCTAGGGCAGGTGGCATGTTTTTTGTGCTTTTTTTTGTTCACAGTCGAGTTACTCAACCCCTTGTCGTCTATATGGAACCCCCTAATCCACCATCTGAGATGGCGAGTAATCGCGGATTCTTCCTTTAAACGGGAAACTCTCCCGACCTTAACCCTCAGAAATCTTGATGCCCATCAAAGTGGGTCGGTCAGCTTTCTTCAACTTTTGTTTGAACACATAGATATTCGATCCTTCAGCTGTACGTTCGAGAGACCTTATGCTTTAAAAGCCGTTTCTCTGTCAAGACCGCTTTGCACTGCAACTGCGTTGGTTCAAAGGTGCCTCTACCCGCTCAAAAGTGAACGGAAACAGCGTTGGAGGGTAATGATACCCCGGTGAGCTCCCCACTCTACCAGCGCTTGCGTTGACAAGTCTGCGAACATAGTGTCACTGGCGCTTTCCGTTGAACGTAAAGAACAACCAAATCTGAATAAAGCTTGAATCGCGCAATCGCCGTTGTGGCGTAAAGTGAACACTGCTTAATGGCATGCGGTCATCTTCTGTCCATTCTTGTCTTGTGAACGCAGCAACCTGAGTGCTTTGTGTCGCGGCTGCTGCTACTGTCCCATACTCATCCATAGCGTTCACCTTTGTGAAATTACTCGGCTGGAGATTAAATTGTTCCCTGACTGCAGCTCCCTCTCAAAAACAAACTGTACAGTAAGCCCCGTCCATTGGCCTCGCACATGGAAGGGCTCTCGTTTCCATGTGCGGCGAATGGGTCCTCAGCCGCACTAGCGGAAACTGGGCTGAAGACTAGTGCATTATCTGTGACTCCGTAATTCTGCCACACAAATATCATTCATGTGCAGGCAGCACTGGCGCACCATACCGAAAGGTGCCTGCATACTCGGCGGTAGGGAACAACAAGAAGTGAAAGGGCGGAGGCAAATCGCGCCTTTGACTATGGTTAGGCAAACGGTAGCGCGGAGAGAGCCGAGAAAAGGCACCCGTGTGTTGCTACCATTCAGACCCGTGCACTTCCTAGCGGAGAAATTGGCAACGGCTGCGGACCTAATCGCCTTCTTGCTGCCAAAGTTCGGATCCAGTAGCGATTAGTGCGGAGTTCATCTTTGATGCTCTACAAGTATACGAGGATACTGATGTGCACGTCTGTTGAGCAAAGAGAAATCAGCTACCATTATGGTGACTCTAGTGGGATCCTCTGCAAAGAACAACATAGAAAACCCTACAGGTGGGTTAGGCGATGACCCACGTGGGCCTCTGACGTGTAACGTCAACATGAGCAAGAAAAAAACGAAAAAAAAGTTTCAACAATGGCAATAACAATGTTTTTTTTCTGAAACTCAAAAATTTTATTCCAAAGACTTCCAAAAGGACACCCAAAAATCTGTTTTGCTTGTCTTTGGGAGTTTTTGAGAATAAATTTGTAGTTTCCATTGTTATTAAAACATGTTAAATACAGTTAGTTAGACTCCGGACAGCACCCATATTCCAACGAAAAAGTTAACAGTTTGCATTCTGTCGGCTCGGGGGGGTGGTGGTCCAGTGGTACTTAGCGACGTTTCACTTAAGGCCAGCTCGCGGAGATCTGATAGTTCCTGTTCTTAAAGTGGCCCACTTGTACCACCTCACAAATCCACAAGAGTTTACAGGTATCACCATAGTAGGAGCTGTTATTTACATGAACTGACAGAAAGAAATTGTGGAAGTGCAGAATCGCTGCACCCCCCCCCCTCAATCCGGCGAACGGTGCGATGGCATGGAAGAGGCTGCAACGAGCGAGAACGAAACATCGCAGCTGTAGATGGTCCCTGACTTTCAGCAACATCACAGAACTTAATAGGCAAGAGTACAGTCTTGTTCGCTGTGGTTAAAGGGGCGTGTCAGTGAGGCTGATCTTGGCGTGCCTCCAGCATGTTCTTCAGTTGTTGAACCGAATAAACGACAACATTTGGTCGCTAGCGGTTCAACGCTGATGGAACGACATGATAAAGTCTGATGCAAACTAAATAAAAAGATAAAAACTAGGCTGGTCCAGCGTCAAACCGCTTCCCCTTGACACGCCTCATCATCCGCAGGAAACAAGTGTATATATAACATAATTATTCATTACGAGTCAAATTTTGAGCTGTGAGCTGTTCCAGGAGAAGTTGGTAAATGATTACTGGGTGCCGAGCCGTAAAAATTGCTGGGCGAGCTTTTCGCCAGCACGATTTTACACTCTTCCGCAAAACAATCTTCGGGTAGGCATGCTCTGTGCCGAGAGAACGAGCAAAGCGCAGAGCGAGCGCACAACTTGAGGGGAAAAACGAGCACATTTGTCGCGCTCGTCTGCAATAAACCTACAGCCGGGATTTATGTTGGTGTTAAAAGAACGAGCGTGGCGGTGAGGTGTTGTGGGCAGGAGCACAAGTGCGGGATATAGTGTGAGCGAAAGGATCCAAAAGGCTTTCACTTTTATACCTAGGTAGTAATTTAACAATAGAATTCTACTGAAATAAACCATGTAACGGATAAAAACTGGTATACCGGTACAAACAAATGTGAAATATTTAAGTGATAATCCAAACGATTTTGGTGAAATAAAGTAGAAATCTAATTCGTGATAAGATAGTAGATAAGGGCGAAGACGATAGCGAATAGAGCTGGATAGATGTACGTGTCCAACGCGGCCCAAGGATTTGAATTCCTGAAAAAAAGGGCTGTCAAAGGGTGTCATCAAACTATCCGCTAAAGTGTATACAGATTCGTTTCATCATTCAGAGCCTAATACTTCTAGAGTCTATGCTGTTCGTGGGGCGGAGATACCCAACCATTGTGCTTTCCTCACTGGTGCGCTTTCCTCTAAAACTGTGAAAGAAAGAGTGCCAAGAAAAAAAGTCTTGTCAACTTGCTCCACCCATACGATCGACGTGGACGGCGCCTTCAAAGAAGTCTGACTTCGAGCTGTTCTTGACTTCGAATTCACAGGATTCAGTTCAATCGAATAAAGTACAACTTATACTGGTCCGTTTATTGCTTAAAGACGACTCTTTACTATTTCCTGGTTCAAATAGTCCGAGTCATAATAAGCTAGAGCTGGAGAGATTGTTATGAGACCACCTCGGAAATGCGCAGGGCCAGATGCCTGTCCTGTTCTAACCAAGCGAAGCTTAATGTTTATGTTCATGTACTTCGACAGATGCGTTTTTCGCTGTTACAAGGGGAGGGATGAGCAAAGAGTAAAAGAATCAAGTTTCTGATTTCAAAAAAGCGGGATCTGTGAAAAGAAAACAGTTCAGGTTAGCAGAACTCAGCCCAAATCGGAGCCAGAAGAGCAAACTCTCTCATAGAAATAGCTATCGCTCACAGGTCGCGAAATCCAGGAGCTCCTTACACACTGGAACTCAGAGCTACTTCCGCTCCCAAAGAACTAGCAGGAAAAGCATGACGATAAAGAAAAGTAAAAGCATATCAATCCCTTTGTGGGATGCGGCACGCATTCTACTTCCATTCAGAATCGTAGTGGCTTTTGAATGCGATGTGGCCTATACAATGACTTGCGGTGGCCAGCCGATGTACAAGTCAGTGTTTTATCCTCCCAGACGAATCTGGTACCAATTTACCGTCCCGGAGGGTAGAAGGCTTGGTTGATCTGGGCGAGTGCCGACTTGAGTTTTGATCTCGAGACCGCGCGCGTGGCCACTTGCCACTACACCTTCTCCTTCTCATGAGGATAGCTCCATCAATTGAATATGTACTACTAATCCTTTTCTAGAAGATAATAAACATTTCAAAATCATAACTTGTTTGCTTACCTTTGCTTATTATCGGTGGGACTAGTGACCCATTCCTTCTTATCGTATGAATATTTCTGTTTCTCCTCCTGAAATAGATTATTTTCACAGTCGACGTATGAGGTCACAACAGCTTACTCCACGCACTTAAAGGCAGTTGGCACGATAAATCCTTAAAACGAGTAGGATTGATACGCCTGGCAGGACGGAATTCCGCGACCCTGAGCAGGCGCTGCGTAGCGCCTTTTCCAAGGAAGGTACCTTATAAGGCCCTATCAAGCTACAACATACCGACCCGAACGCCCACCGCGCCCGCCCGCCCACAAATGGACGACCGTTCCTGATGCTCGTATTGCTTCATTTGCTAAGTAAATATGAAGCGAAGGGATTGAAATGAGCGGCCGCGGCGTTGCATGTATATAGTACATACATCTAGTAGTATCTACCGTAGCAGCTGTTGGCAAGATGCCTACGGGAAACTCGTCCGAAATTGCTTCTGAGTCATTAAGAACGAAGGCTTTTCTTCGCAGGTTTTTGACCGTTTCACTTCGTTTTTTCGCCATTTTCCCATTATATGGCATCCTGCTAGCATTTAGACCGAGTACCAAAGTATCGTGCCAACTGCCTTTAAGGTATGGTTCTTGAAACTTTGACTGTGGCTCAAAGCTGTATATTTTAGGTTGATTGGGAGGTTGTGATGAATCTTCTGAAGATTCAGCCGTCTTAATAATAGAAATTTCGAAGCTCGGTGTAACACTGCTACCCTGACTCAGGCCAATGTAGAAGCCTTCCCCTCCATAGGCTCAAGAAGTGGACGTGAATCGCACCCTGCACGCCAAGCAATTGAGTCAATGTGGTGGAACGTGCACGGTAGCATCGTCAGGATGCGAAATCTTTTTTGTGCGTTCTGAAATTCACCCCAGAGAGTGATGAGGTTGAATATAAAATCGCTGACAAACCCGCTCCAACGCTAGTCGCAAAACTGTATAATTCGCGCGATTGGCCGTGTCGCGTACTCTGACACTGCCTAACGGGCGTAGCGAAGAACATTTCAAGCCTCGAGCGCAGCGAGCTAGCTTTGTCGCGACGCCATTGCTGGCTGACCAGGGCACTGACTGCGAGGGAGGGAGGGGGCACAAGGGGTACAACCACTATTCCCGATAGCTGAAAATAGTTGTTCATGATGACTTCCCCCCCCCGCTCGATAGCAAAATCCTGGGGAAAAACCAGAAATTTTTCGGGAAATGCCGGAAAAACTGGTAGGAAGTTGGGAAAGTCTAGAGAAAATCTAGGAAAGTGGTAGGTAGGATGGGGAGGGGGGGGTCGTATCAGAGGATAGAAATAGGGGCGTCGTATTTTGCAGGAATTCATCACAACACGATGGCGTGCCCTGTGGCTGGCTCAGCACCACAAAGACCAAATGTATCCTTTTAGAGCCACCGATCACTATGTATATATTTGTTTTAGAACTTTTCGCATCCTTCCTGCTGATACGATGCGCCACTCTTTCAACCACCTTACTTTGATCATTTAATCCATTAACATGACCGTAATGAGTTTTTCCACTGTGAAAGGGGATTATCACAGCCCCTTCTAGCGCTTTTATTTGAATATGGTAGAAAAGAAAACTACTTCTCGCAGCAGACATGTCTCTGAACCTCACAGTATTTCACCTTCTGCCAAGTTGTCTCAATTTCAAGCTCATTTTGACCACCAACCTCAACGATATCTCCAACAAGATATTGCTCCCTCATTTCGCGAGCATCTGTGGAATGACCGACGTCCTCGAAAGCTTCAGTGGCATCCCGACCGGCGACTTCCAAAAGCACCTCGCAGCCACCAGGGTGCTGAAAGGCTTCTGAATTTTCTACTGTATATAGGCAGGAAGAACAGCTCATTAGAAACAGTAGAAAAATTCAAGAAGTTCTAAGAGAGAAGTTCTTGAAAATAATTCGAAGATGAGGTCAAATTGTTGCATCTGATCTACCAATTAAGTTCTATGAGTTCTACTTCATTGTCGCTAATTCCTTCTTTATATATAACTATCAAAGTATTCGTCTAAGATCAATAATACATTTATTTTTGAGCAAGTAGCACATGTTCCGCAACTGCATGTGAATCCAAAATCAAGTACAACTGGAAGGTAAGGAAAACCCCCTGTAGAAGCTATCGAACAAAATTAGTCCAGGCATTCTACCAGAGAGACCCTCAGACAAAGGAAATTACCCTCCGCTAAGGTCCTCGAAGCAGTCAATCTAGTTTGAGCACAGCAGTGTGAGAGTAAGTGGCGTTATCAAGAACTGGTTCACGTTCTCGCGGAAGTTTTGCACCAAGGTCTGTTTCTTGACCCATAGTTTTACGAGCCTTGAACCAAAACTTTTCAGCAATGGGATATGATTAATTTTTCTAAAAGCTTTCACTAGAAGGGATATGAGCACTTAATTTGCACTGGCATCTAAATATAACTTCAATCAATGAAAGTCAAACTCGATCCTGAATGTACCGTGGAGTCCTACAAGGTCACAACGCATTTAGTACACTTCTCATACATGCAATGGGTCGAAAAATGATGTTGTCCCTTACAATTAGGACTGTCAATGATTCCTTTCAATGGCTCAGCTGAGGAGATAATTCGCTCGACGAAGGACCCCGCTCTGATATCCCGTCCGACTTCGATAAAGCTCTGCCTGACACTCTTGAGGAGAAGCCCAAAGCGACAGCACGTGAACTCTAAACGACACCTGGCTACTACTGAACCTGAGGATACAGCAAAAGCCGCATGTCTTCAAGCTCTGAACCACAGAGAAGCTATGTCCATTCGAATCCCTACGAAATGAGAGCTTCTCAGTTGTCGACAGGATATCATGTAGTTACACTTGCTTCTAGGCCAACATAGGCAAGCCGTTCTGAACCAAATCAGACGAGGTGTGTTAGGCGTTCACAGTACAACTATTGGCTCCTGTGCGGCGAACTACCTCTGGAAGAGCCGAAAGGAGGGCTGCGGAATGTCCAACTCACGTGACCAAACCCGCCAAAATCGTAGCCGAGGCTGGTTGGGAGATTCCGCTGTGCTCTCTGTGTCCCCCTGACTTGATCCCTA